AGACAGGTGGACTTTCTGGGTTATAAAATTGACGCCTCTGGCATTCATCCCCTGGAGTCCAAAGTCAGGGCAATCCACGAAGCTCCCACGCCCACTTCCAAAACGGAGCTACAAGCCTTCCTAGGGCTGCTGAACTTTTATGCATCCTTCTTACCCCATAAAGCCTCAATAGCCGAACCCCTCCACAGATTACTAGACAAAAAGTCACCGTGGCACTGGGGGCACAAAGAGGACCAGGCGTTTAACGCCGTCAAATCACTACTTACGTCAGAGGCGGTGCTCATCCAATTCGACCCCAACCTCCCTCTAGTACTGGCAGCAGATGCATCACCATTTGGAATTGGGGCGGTCCTTAGTCATAGACTTTCCAATGGCACCGAGGCCCCCATCGCCTTTTTCTCCAGGACGCTCTCGGCCACAGAGCGAAATTACAGTCAAATAGACAAGGAAGCCCTAGCAGCTGTTGCAGCCGTGAAAAAGTTTCACGAATTCCTTTTTGGCCACTTCTTCGAACTGGTCACCGACCATAAACCCCTCCTGGGCCTACTGGCCGGCGACAAACAGACGCCCCAAGTCCTTTCCCCTAGAATGACAAGGTGGACACTTTTCCTAGCGGCCTACTCATACAAACTTACCCACCGCCCGGGCAAAACTCTATCCCACGCCGATGCTCTCAGCCGCTGCCCCCTACCCGCGCCGGCTGAAGACCCGGCTCCTGTCAACGCCATCTTCGAAATCACCCAGTTGGACCTGCCCATCAACGCCCTCGACATCGCCACTAAAACCAAGGCAGACCAAACGCTCGCCCAGGTGCTCGACTGGGTGAGGAGGGGGTGGCCAGGAGGCAACGTTGATAACAAATTTGCACCCTTTAAGACTCGCATGCAGGAGCTGTCCAGTTTGCAGGGTTGTCTACTGTGGGGCACTCGAGTGGTCATTCCGACCTCGCTACGTACCCGAGTCCTAGAGGCGTTGCACGAGGGACACCCTGGCATCGTGAGAATGAAGGCATTAGCACGCAGCTACGTATGGTGGCCGGGTCTAGACGAGGACATTGTCAATTGGGTAAGTTCCTGCAGCATTTGCCAGGAATCCCGGCCTGCTCCCCCCATCGCCATCCCTACCAGATGGGAGAACACCAGCGCCCCTTGGTCTAGAATACATATCGATCTGGCCGGCCCCGTGCATGGGAAGATGTTCCTAGTGATCGTGGACGCTTATTCCAAGTGGATAGACGTGGCACAGCTATCCACGACCACCACACTAGCAATCACCAACGCGTTAACACGCCTGTTTGTTACACATGGACTACCCGACTCCTTGGTCTCTGATAATGGGCCCCAATTCGCATCTGTAGAATTCAGCCGTTTCACAGCCAACCTAGGCATTCGCCACATTTTCACAGCCCCATTTCACCCGGCGAGTAATGGGTTGGCTGAACGGGCCGTCCGGACCACCAAAGAGGCCCTCGCCAGGTTTGGCAAAGATGACTGGCACCACAAACTCTCACGGTTCCTGATGAGCCAACACTCAACCCCCTGTGCAGTCACCAATAAGTCCCCAGCGGAACTTCTGATGGGCCGACGCCTGAGGACCGTATTGGATAGACTGCACCCACAGTACTGCCCTGACTCTCCCCTCGCTTCTACTTCGGGGGTTAGACATTTTGTGTTGCAGGAGCCAGTTTTCGCAAGAAATTTCGCTGGGGACCCGCTTTGGTTGCCAGGCGAGATCGTCGCTGTCACCGGGCCGAGATCGTATAGGGTCAGGCTGGAGGATAGTCGCGTCTGGAGGAGACACATAGACCAACTTAGAAGGCGCCACAGCACCCTTGCCAACGAGAATCCTGAGTCGCCAGCCGTAGGGGGACCGTCTCATCCGCCTCCCAGCCTCATCGCACCCAACGACCAGTTTGCACCAGCAGTCGTTCTGGTCAACCCGAACTTGAGCAACAGCGCCCAAAGAGTGGGCCAACCAGATCCAGCCCACGGGAGCTCGACCCCAGAAACCGACCCGATGGTTTCCGGGGATACCCAGTCCGGAGAGGGCGTTATCGACACTATGCCAGCTCAACCGCCACAGACTGATACTGAACTGGCAGACAATGTCCCCGAGCTGCGCCGTTCAGGGCGCCAACACAAACCCCCCGTCTACCTCAAGGACTATGCATGTTCGCATCTGGGGGGAAGGGGTGTTATGTCCTGAGGACTCAAGTAGTTCTCACTCAGGTCCATTCACTATGTGGGCGTTCTTTCCCCCATTCCCATTGGTTGGTTCTCCCCAGCAGCCAGCTATAAAAGCAGACTGCGGGGCCCAACCAGCTGCTGATTGCTGCGAGCCAGTTCCAGGCTTGGCAAGCACGGTCAGCCCTTTATTGTAAAATAAAGTATTGTTGCACTCATGCTCTGGTCCAGCCTCTCATTGCTCAAACTTAACAGGTAGACTACGCCAAAGCAACACAAGTAGACCGGGATGGCCTGGATCTAACCCCATCGCAGGCTTTGAGTTTGACACCCCTGCACTACAATGATGTGGTCCTTCCGCAAAAAACATATTGGACTCAAATACATACTTAGTTAGAATAAGTGATAAAACAACATATAGATTTGAAACCAGAGATATTTTGGGTGGGTATATTACCAGATCAGTATGACAAAGG